TTAAATCTGCTCACCGGACTACCGGCACATTGGGAGGAGATGAGGCACTCGGCAATGCTGCACAACGTGACGGACAGCTTCACTTTGCAGCGGATGATGATTCGGGAGCAGAGATATCACGATCTCATATCAAAGGATAACCGTGACCGGCGTCCACCTCGCATGGTTGGACAAGCACGTGGAGACTGCTCACCTTCTCCAACTGCAAAGGGCAATAACGGGAAGGAGGGGTCAATTGGGGAGAAAACGCATGGCAAGGATGGAGATGCAAATCGCTCATCTCTCGTGTGTTGGTACTGCAAGGAGCCTGGCCACCCCTTCTTCAAGTGTACCAAGGCACCCCCTGGGTGGATACCACCAGGGTGGGAACCGCATACCCGCGGAAAGGCAAAACTGCACACCAGCGACAGCCGTTCGTCCTCCCCACGAAGGAGTTACAGCCCCAAACGTGACAACAATGCATCAAAACAGCAAGGGGCAGCCGGGGAAGACAAACAACGTACTGTTACGTGCATTGCAATGATGGGATCGTCACAAGCTACCTTACCGCCAGCTAAAGCGTCATCTTGGATGCTGGATAGTGGATGCAGCCAGCACATGACTTCGGACAAGAGCTGGTTTGAAGAGTTAAGGGAGCTGGACGAACCTGTTTTTGTGGAGCTTGCTAATGGGAGCGAGCTGAGCAGCAAGATGACAGGAACGATCAGAGCAACGGCACCTGATGGGACAACAGTTCGGTACACTGACGTCCTCTACGTACCTGGCTTGAAGAGTAACCTGCTCTCCTATTGTCAGCTGCTGAAAAAGGGAGCGCACATCAATACAATTGCTAATGGAGACACGGAGGTCACCATGAAAGATGGAGAGGAGTACGTGCGGATTGGATTTGCTAAGAACGTGGATGGAGTGCTCGTGGTGCAGTATGAGCATGCACTTACATCCGCCCATGATACTGGACATTCCCATGATGGCGCGTCATCAAAGAAGCATGATTGTGAAGAGGGTACACGTTCCTGCACACCTGGAGTGCAGTTGAGTGTCCGCTCTGCACATGCATCCGTTCAGTACCGCATGGCACACAAAGCCTGCATCGTGCGGAAGCGGGCACATGATGATACCACACATGAAGTCTCACCCCACGTTGCGGTGTGGACTTCAGGGGGAGAAGAAAAACGGTTCGCGATGGATTTGGGAGTCGATGGAGCTGACCCTGTAAAACAAGACTTACCTGGAGCTGATGAAGTTGCTGCAACCCAAGGAAGCGGAGATGCAGATGACTTACCTGCAGCAGGTGTCTCCATTTCGGAAGACGTGGAAAATGTCAACGTTGGAGATGCGGTGAACGAGTCAAGAAAGAAGCATCTTACCTGCCCTCTGCTGGCTGGTCAGGGCAATCAAGTCAAGGATTATGGTGTTGTACACACCTGTGCAGCCACCTCGACCGGGCCTGCACACCATGGCATCACCTAACTCCACACTCACTCGTGTGCTTGTGGCTGTGTTCGCGGATGACTACAAGCACATGGGTGAGGGGGAGGTGGGGTGTGGAGTGTATCTGGTGGCCCAGGAGTGGGACATGGAGTCAAGGAGCATAAGTGGAAGACCTACTCACCAAGGTTGCCAATAAGCAGGGGGAGTAGGCAGAAAGGATGCAGCCGGTCGTCATACGTCGTGTTGCAGCGGTATCGTGCGACTGGTTGCTGCTGATCAACGGCACCACCTGAGGGAATGATGGAGAACATACATTGGAACACGCATTACTGCATACCTGGTGTGGACGGTTCTCCATACCTGGTATGCACATCTCGGCATACTTGGTGTGCACTGCACACATGGAGTGGACATTTCTGCACATATGGAGTGCAGATTTCAGGGATACTTGGAGTTCGTCGGCATTCGCAGCTCTCCAGCTGATGGAGTTCGGCAACTCTGTCTGCTACCGTGTGCCGGCTGGAGTGTATGGGGAAGCATCACATGACAACATAGGTGAAGTTTGAGCAAACTTGGCATGATTGCCAAAGCATGGGGAGAAACTGTCGCGCGAAGTGTGCGCCCACCAATGCAGTTCCGCGCCAGCCGCACACCCTGTGTTATCTGCTACCGATTCGCGTCATCCGCAACTGCAGTCGTCGGAGACGCGCATCCACTGCGGTTTTGCGTCGTCGCACAGGAGGCGTGCGAAAAAGACAGCAGCACTGACAATCGCGTGTAGTCAAGTCTACGGTTTCGGAAATTCGGTGTGCGCTAAGGGCAATCCGCCATGACGATCTACGCATTTCGCCATGGTTACGAGGAGATTTCGTCATGGAGCTGCTACTATTTCCTCAGTAGCAGCCACTACGCGCTGTATCTAGATCTGGAAAGTCGCCAGTGGAAGGAGGGATTGGAAAACATCAAGGGAGGAGGTTTGGTTGGAGTTTGAAAGCACCAAAGGCTTGGGGGGAGAAAGGTGCTACAGTGACGAGCAGCTTGGCCACCACCAAACCCTAGCTTGGTTTGGGCGCACCCCTACCTAGTGGTGGTATACCACCTCGACCACCCCATCCTCCAAGGAAATCGGATTCACTAAAACCTACAGCAAGGGGGAGTGTTGGAAATCCGAATACAGTATAACGAATACTGTATACCAGTGTGCTGTTTGGTTTTAGTGTAGTCCTCTTTATAAGCTTCCAGGTCCTACAATTATTGTAGGGGCCAGAATTATTGGAGGTCAGCATTATTGGAGGGTAGAGGGTACAATTATTGGTACACCATTATTGGTGTGAATGGGTCATTCTGGAGGGGTAGCTGGATGCATATATACCCTGCTGTGTCACATCATTGAGTACACATTGTGTCATCATTTTACTTTTCAATGATCAATGCAAGATTTCTATCTTGTTCTTTTCTACAAACACGTTTCCGCTACGCTGGCACTATGCCTTTCTAGCAGTAACCCTAGTGGTAGGGAAGGGCGAGCCTAGGACTAGGAGCGCTAACCTACTGCTGATACCATGTCAGAATGAGAACTACAGCAGAATGCGTTGTGTTGACAGGATTGGGGTACATCACCTAACCCTAACTACCGTATACTCCCGGACAAAACACCCCCCCATAATTGTACACCCCCGGGTAGCTTGTGCGGGGTGGGTGTTATGATAGACCTCGTTTCTACTATACCCCCCTTTTTGGCTGATTTTCTATAACACCCCCCTTTTCTTACGGATTCATTATTATAGTCGTTAACGAGTAGCTGCAATACGGAAGAATATCGTGTGAATTTCTCCCTCGATGAAATTTCGCGGTACATTCAAAGGCAATCTGCCGAGATTTGCCCCTCCCACTATTTCTCTGTCGCCACGTGCAGGTGAATCTTCCGTTGCAAGTGGCAAGAGAGGTGCCACATGCCATTTTCGTGGGGGCGATGAAGTTCGAGGCCGAAACTCACATTCGCGCCTCAGGCAGTGATGCTAAAACGACCAGCAAAACACCCACGTTGACTAATTAAAAAAACACTAACACTAAAATATGCCATATGTAAAGACCCGGGTATTATGTATTTTTTTCCTTTGAGGAGACCCCCCCCATTTTTTCCCTGTATTTTTAGCTATACCCTAGGGTGTTATGTCCGGGAGAATACGGGTAGTTGTACCCCATATAGCCCAACCCACTACAGGCTATAATATTTGACACTGACATGTACTTGCTCCTTTTCCTGCAACCAGATTCAGTAAAATGAAAGAGAGTGACAAGGAGATGCTTATGTGTCCATCAACCCATAGTCCTGACCTTCCCATTCCAACCCAACCCAACCCCAGCCATCCCATCCGGCTCAATTCATCCACCCTGGAGCTCTCTACTCTGTCCCCAAATTATTACATCCCATCCAATCCAGCCCCACAGTCCATATTATCCCTCATATCCCATCGCTCGCCACGCCACGCCACCCACCCTCACTCAAATGTCAACAGCATCTGCTTCCGGCGTATCACCTCCTCGCAGTTCCCAGCACCCCCGTCTTTCCCTTTCCCCACTGCTCCCAGCTGCCCCTTTATCATCGCTGCTCTCAGCTCCCCCATTTTTCCCCGTAGCTCCCAACTGTCCCTCTTGCCACCCACTGCTCATAGTCCCCCCTTCTCTCCCGCTGCTCTCTGCTCTCCCGCTGCTCTCTGCTCTCCACTGCTCTCAGCTTCCCCTACTTTTCCCTCCGCTTCCGGCCCTTCTCATCCCCGCATCTCGCCCTTCTCATTCCGCTGCTCCTGGCTCTTGCTCTCATCCAATCCCCCTAGCATCCGCAGCAGCTGCACCGTGTGACTCGCTGCGGCTCCGTCCGCCACACTGATCTGCGCTGATCTGCACTGATCTGCGCTGATCTGCACTGATCTGCACTGATCTGCGCTGATCTGCACTGATCTGCACTGATCTGCGCTGATCTGCACTGATCTGCACTGATCTGCGCTGATCTGCGCTGATCTGCGCTGATCTGCACTGATCTGCACTGATCTGCGCTGATCTGCACTGATCTGCACTGATCTGCGCTGATCTGCGCTGATCTGCACTGATCTGCACTGATCTGCACTGATCTGCACTGATCTGCTGGGCCCCATGTGCTCCACGTGTGAGCAGATGAATGTGCAAGCTGCCGGGCAGACGAAGGAAGCCCACACAGGGAAGCAGGATACAGGCAAGGGGACAGGGATTCATGGGTGGGAAGAAAAGCAAACACTCAGCGCTGCGGGTCGCACGCACACGCCAGTCACACGGATGACGGTCACACAAATGCTGGTGGCACGAGGCAGTGAGAGGGGGTGGGTTGGAGACAGAGTGGGATGTGGAGCAAAGAGCGGGGAGTGGGTGTCATGTGGAGCATGCGATAGCAATGCATTCGCTGCCTAGTGCTAATGCACCTGGAACGCGGTCCTCTCCTCTATAACCCATTCCCACCCCCCACAACCCCTTCATCCCACAGCCCCTCCATCCCACGGCCCATCACATCACCCACGGCCCACAACGCTCTTCCCTTAGCCATTCTCCTCCCTGTCCGCGCCGTACGCATCCCCTCCCTGCGCGCCGTACGCATCCCCTCCCTGTGCGCGCCGTACGCATCCCCTCCCTGTGCGCGCCGTACGCATCCCCTCCCTGCGCGCCGTACGCATCCCCTCCCTGTGCGCGCCGTACGCATCCCCTCCCTGTGCGCGCCGTACGCATCCCCTCCCTGTGCACGCCGTACGCATCCCCTTCCCCGTGCTGCCGTGCTCTGGCCTGACGGGAAGGAGGAGGGACGAGGGGAAGGGGGAGACACGGATGAAGAAGAGGGAGGGCGGGGACTGGGATGGGGGGAACAGGGAGGGAAGAGAGGGAGGGGGGAGAACCGGGGAGGGGACAGGGAAAAATCACATCTAAAAATTTCTCGAAGTGAAATATGTCAGGGAGGGGGAAGGCAGGGAGGGAGGAGAGACGACGGGATTCAAAGAGCAACTATCGCACGGGATGCACAGGAAAGACGGGGCAAGGAGAGTGACGCTCATCCCCAAACGCGACGCTCATCCGCTCGCGCGACACTCAACCCCCCGCGGTGACGCTCACCCCAGACGCGACGCCCATCCCCAGACGCGACGCGCGGCTTTCAACCTTCCAATGGCACATCCACCCCGGCATACCCGGAATCGTATCGGACTCGAGACTGACGGCGTATCTAGCGAGAATTTGTCGTCACCCACGTGGAGAGAGAATTCATCGAAGCACCAGCGGTCACGGTTGACACATGCGACTCGGCAGAGCTGACGCGAGCCTGCTGCGGCCAGAGTGGATTAAGCGGGTGTGAAGCATGCCGAGATCGGAAAGGCCGTCTCCTGATTTGACAGAGGCGACTCGGCAAAGCGACGGGAGGTTGCTGCGGGCAGCGAAGGTCGCGAGGGTGGGAAGAAGGCCGTGGTCGAACCCGCCGTCGTCATTGCATCGGAACCTATACCTGTGTGTCAAACAGCATGCCATCCAGTGGCTTGATGTTTGATAGGCATCGCTGGGAGTTTTTTTGCAATGCCTGGGATTGGCGTGTTGCAATACACACTTACAGCGTGTCACCTGCAGGTTGATTTCGACATTCCACGCGGCATCATTCCCAACCCCAGGTTTCACTCCACAATCGAACTCGGCATTTCCCAAAGCGCGCAACTACTGTACATAGCCGATTGCGTGATAAGAGGTCGGTACGTTTTTTTTTCCAGATCGAGATTTTCGGGTTGTTCTCAAACAATTGTGAATGATTCGAGGTGTGACTATTCTTCATAGAGGGACTCGTCATTGTAGCATAGCACCCCACTTCACAGATTTTGAATTAACATCGCTAAAACATTGTGCTGTTACGCAAACCGAAGTTTGTTCACAACGGATCACTTCGCGACCGAAGCGGCGATACTGTAGCTCAGGGGTTACTCATTTCTTGTTACTGTTACATCCGTAACCCGTGTCACCAAGGTACAGTTCAATGTATGTTACAAAATCGAAGTTACCTTTAACTTGTAACCCTAGTTACTAGAGTACACTTAAAACCAGTAACATGTAAAATATAAATTCTAGGGCGTACAATTTTAAATGCGTTCCGGGGACCTAAATAGCGGAATATGAATATTTTCGTAATAAAACCTGTAATTATAAAAACACGCATAAATAAAAATGCAATGCATACAAAATCCATTTTCAGGATTCATCTTCAGAATCCTCGTCTACCACCTCATCTTCATCTAACTCATCCTCTGCATCCTCATCCCCCAGGACATCAGCATCCAGAGCCTCCTGGGGGATGGTCACCCAATGCGCCAAACAGATGCGCCCTATGCCTATGAAGTCACCTTCAGTCCGGCCCATGCTGTTGATATAGCGCTGCACAATGCGCGCTTGTCTGGAGATGGCGAGAGTGTCACCAGAGCGACCAAGCTGAAGCTTGTTGCAAGTGGGGTGACGTAGCTTAAAACGGACCTGAACACATTCAACAACACAACGAGCCTGTAAGACAGAACATAGAGGAGAAAATTTTGCATTACAGAGGGTTTAAGACTCACAACTGCCAGAATCAATAGGAGCTGTGCCGCATAGATCCCAAGTGGGCGGTCTGGGTCTTCCTCTGTCACAAACAGGCGCGCACACGCCATGAACGCTGGGCTGGAAAAAGGGTGGCCATTAAGCAGGTGCCACTCTATGCCCTTCAGCCCTGTGACAAGCCACAAAGCAAAGAACGGGCAATAATGACAGAGTAAGTACAGGCTGCTTTATTATGTGACTGTTTAAAAAACTCAACATTTATGTTGAGTTGCTGAAAACAAGACGAAAGAGAGTTTACAAAGGTAAACACGGGTAAAGACTTACCGCTGCCATACACAGCCACGTAAGCATGGCATCGGGCGGCGAAATCGTCTGGCTCCACAGCTCGGATGGTGCCATTCGGAGCACGCTTAATCACGAACAGCCGCGCGCCCCGTACCAACCGCAAGCTCCTCCTGCAACCTCCGTAGATCTTGCCAATGCGGTTGTTGAACCGCTTCTCTGTCTTTTTGACGATGTCTTTGTCTTTCATGTGCGCCACCAGCCTCGAAGCCTCATCGCTGCCCCATGTGAAACCTGCATGTGCTGTGCGAAGTAAAAGAACGGGCGGCAGTCAGAAACATAAATAGGAGCAATAGCAGAAGAAACACGACTCGTCTGCTTACCGACTAAACGTTCAACAACATCACTCCTCTTCGGCGCCATGTTCATGTGGTCGCCGTCGAAGAGGAAATCGTTGACGGTTTCCGACATCATTCTCTGCAATAGCAACAGAAAACACCCGTCAGGGTATAAACCGGAGTGAACAGAAGACACCCATCAGTTTAAAACGAAAGCGTGTCAAAGAAACTCACCTCGAAATCTAGGCTGACAATCTTCTGCAGGAGCACAGCATCAGCGAGAGATCCGGCGATGCCAAGAGCCTTCAGGATCTGCACGTCCTTGGTCTTGCAGTCGGTCTGCAGCAACTCGACATGCTCGCGAGCAATGGCGGCCTGCGCACGAAGGCTCTGATTGACCTTGTTTGGGCGCGATTCGGTATGAAACTCATCGGCCTCTGGACTGGGATTAACGCCCGCCTGCTTCATGGTACGGGCATAGAGGGTGAGGCCTGCATGGCACGGAGGAACAGAGGTAAGTATACGGTATAGTTGGGCACACGACCAGAATGCGCGTCAAAGCTTACCACGTTGGCCGTTCCCCTGAAGCGGTTGCGCGATTACGTCCCCGAAGAGCTCGCCCTCTTCTTCCTCCTCAGCATCCGCAGTGGCAGTAGCTGCACCCACCGCGGTAGGATCACGGTCGGCATCGGCAGAAGCAGGATCGGCAGCGGCAGGAGCAGGATCGGCAGCCGCAGGAGCAAGATGGGCAGCGGCAGGAGCAGGATCGGCAGCGGCAGGCGCATGATAGGCAGCGGCATGAGCAGAAATGGCAGCGCCTGGAACAGGATCGGTAGTGGTAGTCGGTGATGCGGCGGCAGCACTAGACTTTCCCAAGACCGCAGCACGTTTGACACCGTGGGCTCGCTCGCCTTGACGGTTGGAGCCGCGCTTGCGAGATCGAGCGCCAGTCATGGCTGCGTCGAGAGTATCACCGTCTGGGAAAGAAGAACAAGGTAGTTAAAACACAGCAGTTGATACAAGGTGACCATAAAATAAAAAGCACAAACCAAAGAGAGCGCTTACCTTTGTTAGCTGGAAAAAAAGCATGATTGTCCTTGCTCTTGCGCGGAATGGAAGTCCGTAACGGTTCCGCCATCTGCATACTAGCGGGAACGCTGAATGAACGAGCACGGCCCATTATTAGCTACTGAAAGCTATAAGTACTAAATCGCTAGAGATGGAGTACCTGATAGCAACACTCCAGCAACAAAGGCTATTTATACGACAAGCTCTTAGGAGATACGCCGGGAACATCATCTCTTACCTTGCCTACGCATCGCGACGAGATACGGTGAGGGCCTGCTTGATGCCCCGATTGATGCCAATAACGATGTGTGGTGGTAACGAGGGGGATGGGTGAGGGAGATTGAAGTGGTGGAAGGAGGGTGGGGTTTGAAGTTTGAAATTTCAAACTTCAGTTTGAACTGTCGAGGGGGATCGCAGAGGGGGCGTTGAGGAGGATGAGGAGGGTGGATTGGAGGGGAACCCGAACGTGCACCACTTTGTGGGTACTGGGTGGTTTGGTGCACGTCCGGTCAACGTCCCCGCCGTGCTGCCTGCCAGGTTCGGCAGATTTACATGTAGGAGTCACAGCTGATTCGGGCGCCGTGAACAACCATTCCTTCTGCCGCGTCAGCGTGGTCGATGACAACCATGCCTCGTGAAGTTGCGACAGCGAGGCACAGCTGCGGAAATGAGCAGGACTTAGGGCGCGTGTGATCTGTGGTTTCTGGTCTAAGTTTGAACTCAAACCGTTTTGCACTGTGGCGAAAAGTCTCTTAGTTGTATTTTACCGTGTAAAACGTTTCTAAAATTTCGAACTTTGGGAAGTTCGAAAAAAGATCACACGCGCCCTTAGCGTGTTGTGTATGTGTAACCCGTGTCAGACTTTATATTATTTATATTTGTAACTGCCTGTAGCTGTAGTTAGTGTAGTTATTGCAAATTTTGTTAGGTGGTGCACCCTTTTGTTTCCTATACTATATGTTCTTTGAACCTATAGTGAAACCCCACTTTTCTCCTTTCACAACTTTCTCGACTCTCCCCCCTTGGGCCCAACTCACTCGATACCTAAATTGGGCCTAGGCTCCTAAGCCTAGGCCCTTACGTTCTAATTATTTTAACATGGTTGTCAGAGCAGGTTGGTCCTGGCCTGTGGGCCCGACCAAAGCTTCCGCTGCTGAATTTCTGGTCACGCGCCTCGGGCGCGTGACGTTTTTATTTTCTACCCGTCGCGGACCCGCCCCCTTTGGCGCCCGCGGCGGTGCTCTTGGCGCCCGCGGACCCGCCTCTGGCGCCCGCGGCGGTGCCCCTTGCCGTCGCGGACCCGCCCCTGGCGCCCGCGGCGGTGCTCTTGGCGCCCGCGGACCCGCCTCTGGCGCCCGCGGCGGTGCCCTTTGCCGTCGCGGACCTGCCCCTGGCGCCCGCGGTGCCCTTGGCGCCCGCGGACCCGCCTCTGGCGCCCGCGGCGGTGCCCTGCGCCATCGCGGACCCGCCCCTGGCGCCCGTGGCGGTGCCCTTGAGCCGCCGCGGACCCGCCCCTGGCGCCTGCGACGGTGCTCTCCGCACCTACATTCCCTGAAGCCGCCCCTGACACCACTGCACCGACACCTCTTCGCCGCTCTGCGGCTTTCTTCCTTCCCACCCCCCTCCTCCTTTGTCTCCCTGCAGCCGCGGGGAGGAGGGTATGGGGGTGGAGGGTGTTGGAGTGTGGGTCGTACCCTTCCCTTCCCCTCCTCCTCCGTTTGTTCCCACTGCTGCAGCTGCCGCTGGGGGGGAGGGTGTGAGGGTGTGGGGGAGCAGGGGGAGAGGCGCCGGGGTGACGGGTGTGAGGCAACCAGCAGCCGTCCCTCCACCTCTCCTCTCTTCCCCCCTTCTCTACTGCTCCTGCAGCAGTGTGGGGGAGGGGAGGGAGGAGGGTGAGGTGATGGAGGGGGTGACCAGTTAGTGTCTGCCCGCCTGCAGTACCTGCTGTTGCTTGGTTATTATCTTGCTTGTGTTGCTTGTGTACCCCTGCAAGTTGTGTTCTGCACAAACTTCTGCTGCAGGCAGTTATGGGGGAGTGTCAGACTTTATATTATTTATATTTGTAACTGCCTGTAGCTGTAGTTAGTGTAGTTATTGCAAATTTTGTTAGGTGGTGCACCCTTTTGTTTCCTATACTATATGTTCTTTGAACCTATAGTGAAACCCCACTTTTCTCCTTTCACAACTTTCTCGACTCTCCCCCCTTGGGCCCAACTCACTCGATACCTAAATTGGGCCTAGGCTCCTAAGCCTAGGCCCTTACGTTCTAATTATTTTAACAACCCGGGACGCGATAGTAAGTGCTGACTACATTGAGTAACGACCCATGTTGAACTGTAACTGCAAATTCCACTAACAATAAACCACCTTCTCTCACCATTGAATCAAGCTCCTGAATACCGGTGTCTACTAATTAAGAAGCTGGCACTTGAAGTTGGGATTAAGTTAGCCTAAATGGAAGTGGAGAACATTTGAGTTTGAACGCAAAACATGTTGCAACCGGACCTATCCATGCTTAAAGTTCAACGATCCAACGCACAATCAAGCATCGCAAGCTGCGAAGTTGGGCGTATGAGCCCAAATCAGGTTCATTTGCAAGGTACTGGGTCCTACTATAGGAGTGTGAGAATACATAGGGCTAAAAAATACGACCATCCATTGAAAAGGTGACATGTTTCGCACCGGCCCATCCTTGCACAGATACTAGGCATGCAACGCACAAACAAGCGTCAACGGCGGCGTAGTTGGGCGAACGAGGTAAAACAAGTTCCTATGGCTTGGTAATTGGTCATACTAGGAAACAGTGCGAAGAAACGGAGCTAAAAGCCGCAACCAAACGACGAAACGGTGACATGTTCCGCACCGGCCCATCCTTGCACAGATACCAGGCATGCAACGCACAAACAAGCGTCAACGGCGGCGTAGTTGGGCGAACGAGGTAAAACAGGTTCCTATGGCTTGGTAATTGGTCCTACTAGGAAACAGTGCGAAGAAATGGAGCTAAAAGCAGCAACCAAACGACGAAACGGTGACATGTTCCGCACCGGCCCATCCTTGCACAGATACCAGGCATGCAACGCACAAACAAGCGTCAACGGCGGCGCAGTTGGGCGAACGAGGTCAAACAAGTTCCTATGGCTTGGTAATTGGTCCTACTAGGAAACAGTGCGAAGAAACGGAGCTAAAAGCAGCAACCAAACGACGAAACGGTGACATGTTCCGCACCGGCCCATCCTTGCACAGATACTAGGCATGCAACGCACAAACAAGCGTCAACGGCGGCGCAGTTGGGCGAACGAGGTCAAACAAGTTCCTATGGCTTGGTAATTGGTCCTACTAGGAAACAGTGCGAAGAAACGGAGCTAAAAGCAGCAACCAAACGACGAAACGGTGACATGTTCCGCACCGGCCCATCCTTGCACAGATACCAGGCATGCAACGCACAAACAAGCGTCAACGGCGGCGCAGTTGGGCGAACGAGGTCAAACAAGTTCCTATGGCTTGGTAATTGGTCCTACTAGGAAACAGTGCGAAGAAACGGAGCTAAAAGCAGCAACCAAATGACGAAACGGTGACATGTTCCGCACCGGCCCATCCTTGCACAGATACCAGGCATGCAACGCACAAACAAGCGTCAACGGCGGCGTAGTTGGGCGAAAGAGGTCAAAACAGTTTCCGCTGAAAGGGACTGTGATGTAGTACCTAAATTTGTGAAGAAGCTGTTCTAATACAAACGGTATATACACCAACTATGATACAACAACCATAAACAGGTATGTACAGTAAATTCACCACCTAAACTCATTCCAAATGAATTTCTGGACCGTTGATGGGGTCAAAGGGA